AAACAACTCTAGATACTTACATAGGGGTTCTCTTGTGCCTGCTTTATTGAGCATTAAGACACTCAAGTGTAGAGCAAAATTCCATGAGGAGGGGCAAGGAACAACTGTACATCTGTAGCTAAATAATTCCCAGAGATCATATAGGACTGAAAGACAAGTGAATTCCACCAGCCAGAGTGAAGAGACTTTATTGAAAAGTAGACTCCAAAAGAGAAACAATTTAGCAGTTAGGCAAACTAGTACTAAAGGCTACATTAGACCTACCAAGTTGTGAAAAGATGGAAGGATACACAAGTAACTTAACTGCCTGCCAAAACCAATTTCCACATTATTTAAAGAAAGACAACAAAATCCACATTCTAAACAACAGATCATTAACATTGTCTGACATGTACTAAAAAATTGCTAGACAAGCAAAGAAGCAGAAACAAGCCATAATTAGAAAACAAAATCAGTCAGTAAAAGCAAACCAAGAAATCAGAGAGATAATGGAATGAGCCCATCAAGATCTTAAAAGAGCTGATATAAATATGTTCGAGAATAAAAAGAAATACATGCAAATAAGATAAGTGAAAGATAAAAAATTGAAAATTTACATCTCAAAGATATACTGTCTGAAATGGATAATATTGAAATCAAACTCAACTCAGATAATGCAAAAAAAAAAAAAAGCCAATGTTAGGAGAAAATATTTGCAAAAGTCACATCTGATGCACCAATTCAGATTTTCTTTGCCTCACCTGACTCTTGCTTCAGCCACCACTGCTGTGGTCATTCTACCTGGGCTTTATCCACTTTCTTCCAGGTACAACTTGAGAATGCCTCACTATATGTCCCTGCTGGCTGCCTGTCACCATCAGCCTGGGTGATTTCCTGTCAATATTGAGATATGAGATGATGGAACATCTCCTATTGCCCACACATGTGTACCTGGAAGTGCGTGAGAATTAATGCCCCCTGGAGTGAAAATCTAAATTAACTTTGATTACATTCCATCAGACACACTTGTTCAATGTGTGGGTTACATCCATTTTATTACAATTCTCTTGACTAACAAGGATCAAGAGACATACGTGCAAATAGTGAACATAACTACCTGGAAAAATTGTTGTCCTTAGAAGGATGAGCTTCTTGAAAATGAAAAATTGCTGTAGTAATGAGGCCACAGAGTCTGTGTTGTGTGTCCACCTATTTCTGTTAGTATATAAAAGTCTCAGGAGAGATGGCATTCATATTTCAGAAACCTCCACTTGCTCCTTTAGTGAACTATTGAACTTCTAGATACCAGGTGTTGCAACAACTGCAGAAACTCATGTGGTGGTTGTGGCTATGGTTCTGGCTCTGGCTGTGGATACACTTCTGGACATGGCTGTGGTATGGTTCTGGCTATAGCTGTGGATGCTGTTCTGGCTCTGGCTGTGGATATGGCTCTGGTGACAGCTGTCTCTATGGCTGTGGATCCAGGTTTGGCTATGGTTCTTCCTGCTGTGGCTACTAGCCATTTCTCTATATTGTGATGATTTCCAAGTAAATGTTTCATTGGTCCTAACAAATTTGTGTATCTGTGTGTCAGACATGTTATTGACTTACATTTTTGTCTTCTATTTCTATGACTTCCTCAGAAATTGGCAGGGATAATGCTTAGCTGTTCATTCCAATTGTGTATGTCTAGCTTCCATTCTGATTGGTCACTACCCATGACACATTGAATGTTACTTGCCTTGAATTTCATCCCTGAAAAAATGATTCTTTATTGGCTGACTTTTCTGTCCTTAATTCATTTTACTCAAGGGTTTGTTCTTAAGCATTTTGTTTCACAATCCTAGACCAATCCATTTCTTTCTTTCCATATTAATAAGCATTAATACAGTCATCAGCATATGCACATACCCATACAAACACAAACAAATGCCACAAGAAAATCTTGGAAAAATGCTAATGGTGAAAAAAGTGGGTTTGAAGAGGAGAGACAGAAGACTCGATAGTTCAGTATATAAATGACCTGAAGACTAGCTGAAGCGTCCTGGACTTGGGCGGTGGCATAGTTCATGCAAAGGAATAAATGAGAATTAATGACTTTGTGAAGGTAGAACCTGCAAGATCTTAGACATCAGTAGTGAAGGAGAAGGAAGAAAAACCTAGACAAGATGAATTCTAAAAAGTATAAATTTCTTCTCAGCACTTAGAATAGTGGGGAATTCAGAGTGATATATACAGTTAATAGATCTGAAAGACTAGCATTGCAGATTTGTTCTGTGTCCCTCTAGAGACACCAAATAGGGTGAGTGAATGGATGATGATGACACATCAATATCTCAACATGAGTGCTCTTTCTAATGGGTGACACCATCTGAAACAAGAATGACTTCCTCATTAGGTGTTCTATCACTGGATGTGTTTAAACCCAGGGAGGATCATTCACTACTAGGGTTATTTTAGGGGAAAATTACAAACTCAGGGAAAGGGGTGGAATTAACTGATCTTTCATATCCATTTCTATCCTTATTCTATTCTAGGATACTATAGGTTAAGAATGAATTTGAGCTTTGAAGCCTGATTGTGAAAATGGTGATGCTGATACCAAGAAAATACAGAACTTGAACCTTTTACGTTTCTGAATCTGGGAGGAGAAGACCAGTTATAACGTTTTGGCTTTGGAAATTCTATCTTCATTTGGGATGTAGAAAGACTGTCAGAACTGGAGTTAAGATTCAACCACTATCGTTCAATAAATTCACTTCTCCTAGAATCCCTTGAATCTTGAAAGGAATTGCAGGCTTGAAAAGAGGAAGGGCAAAAAAGGATAGATGGATAGATTGTTATTCTTGAAGAAATAGAACCAATTCTTATGAATTAGATGAATGAGTAGTCTCATTCATCAAACATTTATTGAACTCCTACTAAAAGGTCCTTCATTATGTGCTATGAACAGAGAAATAAATATTTCATCCCTGCTTTTTAAAAGTGCAGAAAAGACGGAAAAACTCCACAAGCTACAAAGGTCAGAATATTGCTATGATATAATTATACACGGGGATGTTTAGGAAATACAGAAGAAGAAATCAGAAGGGAGGCCAAGAGCAAGAGAAAGTAGGGGAAAGGATCAGGAACCTTTTTGGAAAAGAGACAAACTTCTAGCTTAAACAATGAAGAACGAATAGGAGTTGGTCAATCATACAAGAAGGAAACAGCTTTCTGGACAGGGGAGAAAGAGGAAATACATTTCAGAAAATGCCCATATGCTGGGACATTATTGTAATAGCTATCATATATCCTGGAGAAAATGTAGTCACTAGTTAGACTTAAAGAATAAATTCACAGGTGTGGGTAGCATGGATTCTAAGGTGACCCCCGATGACATGCACCTTTGTATAATCCCCTCCTCTTCAGTGCAAACGGGACCTGTAACTTGCCTCTAACCTTGGCAAAGGTGACAGTATATCACACCTGTGATTATGTTTGCAATTGGCAAGTAAATTTGATTTCAGATAAAGAACAGATACCTTTTTAGTATGTTTGATGCGCTTTTTGGAATATATTTGTAAATTTGGCAACTCTACGTAAGTTATACTGAAGAGATTTTTCAAATGTCCTGGTTAACACCTTGTCTTCAATATTGTGAGACCCTGAGCAGAGACCCAAGTAAGGCTGTGCTTAGACTCCTGATCCACTCAGACTGTGAGATAATAAATGGGTGTTTTTCTAAGCTGCTATTTTTGTGGTAACTTACAACAGGCTTCCTCTGCTGTCCTCTAAATTATCTGGTAAGAGGTGTGGTTGACTTGGATGACCTGGATACCATATCTGCATATCAGCAGAGATTAGGAGACCAGTCATATCCATGGGTATCAAGGACAGAGGACTCTGGGTGAAAGTGAAAGGATGAAAGTCAATCACAGCTGTACTTGATGGGACTGGCTTGTGAATACAATGCTGAAATAAACTTTATCTAGGACTCAAAGTGACATTGGGAATAATGAGAGACTCTGAGCCTGTGAGGATTTTATAACAGGATAATTTCACAAAGAAATATGTCATCATAAGAAATAATGAGCTCTCTGTTACAGCAAGTGTTCAAGCATCCAATAATTAGAAAAGGAGACTTTATGTATCACAACAAAGAAGAATAAATACTTGATCTTGGTAACGTATTAACTATGTGACTTTTAGTAAGTTCCCTAACCTCTTTGTATCCCAGTTTCCATGTTATAAGTTACCTACCTCTTTTCCACTTCATTGGGATCAAACGATTAAATGTCTGAAGAAATTTGTGATTTACAAAACAATCAACAGTGTTATTGTAAAGGATATTCTTTTTGTCTTGTTGCTCTGATCTAAACTAAATGACCACTAGAGTTGATAAAAATTTGTTGAGGAATGGCTCTAGGGGTAAAATATATCATCAGAATATTATATTCATGGGTATTTGGGTTCATATGAACTCTATAACTTAATACGTTGAGGAGTTATCAAATTACCTTCTATACTTTAATCTCATCACTGTTATATATGCCACCATGCCACTCCACTATTTGACTCTGGGCTAGAATGAGAGTTAAAAAGATCTTATGGAGGGGAATATAATTTTGAGAAGTCAAGGAGAAAAAATAATTATTTGTGGTCAAGAGCAAGTCAATTGAGACTATTGAAAATGTTCCCTGTTTACGTGATATCTGGTTACAGAACATTTAAGTGAAGATTTCTTATGAAAGATAACTTTGCAAGTGAGACTATACCATCTTATTAAAGAACCTCAAGAGGTTAAAGCAAGCCTCTTTAATGCCTTAAGACATTATGCTCTCCTCTTGAAGCACACGCTAATTATAGTAGTCATAAAATTAGCCAATGACATGAGCACATGTGGTGGTTCCCACCCACACTAAGGGCATTTAAAAGGCTCCCTGCAAAAAGAAATGCCCCAACTAAAGTCACCTGCACTCTTTCTCTACCAGGGATAACCTCAAAAACCAACACCATGTGTGACTACTACAGAAACTGCTATGGGGGCTGTGGCTGTGGATGCTGTGACTGTGGATGCCTGGGCTGTGGCTACAGCTCCTGCAACGTTTGAAGCTTCCCTAGACAGGGCTGTGGCTAGGGCTGTGGCTATGGATATAGCCCCCACTCTCTCTGTGTCTCTGGCTATGGTTGCGGCTCTGGCTATAACTCTGGTTTTGGCTACGTCATGGAAGACTCTCACTCTGTACGCCTGGACATCAGAATTCACCATCTCTAAACACAGGTCCTGTGCCTTTCCCTTGGCTGATGATTATCCTGCATCACGGATGTGTAGTATGGTCTATTGTTGACCTACAATCTAGCCTACAAATTTCCTGAATTTGCTTTATTAAGTGAGATAAGGTGAAATTCACCTGTAACCTCACAGTTCTGCTTTCATCAAGATGATGATGTCACAGCAACTGCCCTGATGACTTTCATGCTGGAACTTGTTTGTCTGTTGACCTAATAAACTTTAATTCAAAGAGCAACTCTAGTTTTGATTGCAGACATTTCATGTCCCAAGTTTCTTACTGACATTTTTTGGTTTCCGTTTGCAAGAAAAGCAACAATTGACCCCTTAGGGAGATTTTCCCTTTCTATCTAGGTCAGCTTCCTGATCAATTCCATTGTCAATTGTCTTAGGAAAGCAACTTATTTTATATAAACTTCAGTTTCCTTCTCTGCTATTGAGGGAATAATATTTGGTATTCTGGGTAACTCTCAACACTAAATGCAATATTATTTATAAATTAGGCATTGTGTGGTACATGGTACAAAGAAAAAATAATAACTTCTCCAATTTTCACATTATCTCTTAAAATAAATAAATGTTGTAGTAAGTTTCCTTCTCTACTTCTAATCCATTTAAATATATATATATTATTATTATTTTTTTTTTGCTGAGGAAGATTCTCCCTGAGCTAACATCCACTGCCAATCTTCCTCTTTTTGTATGTGAGCCACCACCACAGCTTGGCCACTGACAGACAAGTAGTGTAGGTCCACCCCCCGGGAACTGAACCTGGTCTGCTGAAGTGGAGCATGCCAAACTTAACCACTAGGCTCCCGAAGCTGCCCCTTAAAAAATATTTTGATGAAAGAAACAACCTAAGGAACATTTTTGCAATCTATTCCTTCCTAAGGTAGTGTAGATTGTAAAACTATTTGGTCTGCATAGTGGACTATAATAATTGGATAAAAACAGCATTTCAGGTTTAGACTGAAGGTTTCAGGCTCACAGTGCAGTAATCAAGGTGACGGTCAGGTCCGTGGTCTCATCTGAGTCCTAACTGAGAAAGGACATGCTTCCAAGCTCACACATTTGGCAGAATTCATTTCCTTGTGGTTGTATAACTGGGGGGCTCAACACTAACTGTTAGTGGGAGGCCTTTGTAGGCTGTCTGCTAGAGGCCACCCTCAGGTCTAAGAGGCTGTGTATAGTTCCTTGTTATGTGAGTTCCCATACATGGTTGCTTGCTTTCTCAAAGCCGGGAAGGGAGGGGGAGATATTTCAGCAAGACGGGTGCTACAATCCCACACAATTTTATGTATCATAATCACATAGACAATTACACATACTTTATTATTTTTCCATATTCTATTAGAAGTTTTGCTCATATTCAAGAAGAGGACATCACTCAGGGCATTGACATCAAGAGACAGAAATCATAGAAGCACCCGAATAGTCTCCCTACCAATCATATCAATGCTATTCATCCTTCCTAAGAGGAATTAGGCAGTGTCCCTTCGTTTGCAGTGCTCTGGAACAATTCATAGCATATTCAGATTATCTTGTTTCCAAAGATTTGGTAGAATTTCCCTGAAAAATTATCTGGATCTGGAGTGTTTTGTGGAGTATTTCCTTAAAAATTTTCTGTTTCTTCTAAGGAAATTAATGTCTTTATAATTTTTAAATGTAATGGTGTCAATTTTGACGATCTGTATTCCCCTAGGAAATTATGCATTGCATCTAGGTTTTCGAATTTATATCCGTAAAGATCTGAAAAGTAGGGGACGCCTCATGGCTGAGTGGTTAAGTTTGTGCACTCGGCTTTGGTGGCCCGGGTTTTGCTGGTGTGGATCCTGGGCATGGACTTACCCACCACTTATCAAGCCACACAGAGGCAGCATCCCACATAAAGGAACTAGAATGACCTACAACTAGGATATACAACTATGCACTGGAACTTTGGGGAGGAAAAACAAAGGAAGATTGACAAAAGATGTTAGCTCAGGGTGAATCTTCCTCACCAAAAAAAGATCTGAAAAGTAGATTCACATAATTTTTAAAACCTCTTATTTCCATGTTATTTTTATATGTTTTTTCTTGATCAAATTAACAAGTGATTTACAAATGTTAATCTTTCCAAATAACAGCATTTTGAGTCATTTTTCGAGTCTTTTGTTGTTTTCTAGTCTCTACTTCATTAACTTCTGCTTGTTTATTACTTCCTTCCTTACACTTTCTTTAGTTTACTTAGTTGTTCTTTAGAAAGTTTTTCTCAACTGTGATATCAACTTATTTATTATATTTCTTTCATTTTCACTGACAAAAGTATTTAGTGCTATGAATTTTTCTCTAACGACTGCTTGAAATTTTTTCCTAGATTCTGTTAAGTACTATTTGAATTGTCATTATTTATTTTGAAATTCTATAATCTCATATTATATTTTCTCTTTCAACTGAGAGTTGTTTAATCAAAGATTTACTTTCCAGATGAAGGAGACTTTCTGTTCTTTGTTTTTGTTAGCAATTTGTAGCTTTATTGCATAGCAATCTGAGAGTGTTCTCTGCAGTATTTCTACTTTAAAAACTTACGAATTTTTTTCTTTGTGACCTAATATGTGGTCGGTTTTTCTGCATTTTCTGTTGAAGCTTGAGAAGGAAGTTTATTCTGTACTATCAGTATAGAGGTAGATATATATCCATAGGAGCTACCCTGTTAATTATATTGTTTACTTAAATAAATGTTTTCTCTCCTTAGTTATTTTTTCTACTTGATCTATCTGTTCTGAGAGTGGTATATTAAAGTTGCCCATTATCAGTGTGTTTCTATCTATGTCTCCTTGATATATATTTGGATAGATAGATAAATATATACATATTCTTCATAAAGATAGTTTCTGTGGTTTTGGTACAGAAATAGAACTATCACAAGTGTAATATGTCTCTTGTTCAGTATTGCTTTTGGAGAAAAATATTAGGAGTCAAGTATCTAGGCTACTGATATTTTCTTAAGTTACCTGTAAGAAAGCTATATAAATATTTAATAGAATTTACCAGTGAAGACATCTGGGTCTAGAATTTTCTTTGTGGAAAAGTGTTTTTAATTATGAATTCATTTTCTTTATTAGATATAGTGCTATTCAGATTTACTTGAGTCAGTTTCGGTAATTTGTGTATTTAAAGGAAATTTCCCACTTTATCTATGTTGTGAAATGTTTTGGCATAACATCCACTTATCATTTTGGGGTCTGTAGGATATTAAAAGATATTAATTCTTTTGCTCTTCATATTGGTATTTTGGGTTCTCTGACCTACATTCTTGATTGATTTGTCTAGAATTTATTAATTTGATTGATGTGTTCAAAGTACCAACTTTGGGTATTATTGATTTTTATAGTTTGTCCATTTTCTATTGAATTGACTCTACTCTTATCTTTATTTTTCCCTCATGCTTCTTACTTTATATTTAATTTTCTCTTCCTTTCTAGCTTTAAAGAAGCTTAGAGAATTGATTTTTAAAATGTCCTTTTTCTCTAACATAAATATTTAAAGCCATAAATTTTCCTCTAATCACTTCTTCAGTGTTAAGCCATACATGTGGTATATTGCATTTCTTTATTAATCAATTCAAAATATTTTCTAATTCCCCATGTGATTTATTTTCTGATTCATATGTTATTTAAAGGGAGTTATTTCCAAGTCCAGGAAGACTCTCTCTTCATGTATCTGAGACTAGCCTGTCCCCTCTAGGAGACATCTTGGCAGTGAGGGATATTGCTGGAAATCTTACTATGCCACTAATCCATCAAAAGACACACAGCAGATAGGCTGGTGAAACTCTTTCCACACTTTCAGGCTGCAATGGCAGGGACCAGTGGAACAATCAGTGGCACAAGATAAACCAAACAGACCAAAATAACACTGTAACAACTCTGACGATTGTGAATCATAGGCCACAAGATCCATGAGCTAAACCCAAACAGAGTGACTACCTGATTTTAAAAAAAGACTTAAATAAGACCAAGAGTCTCCTGATACACAAAATTTCTATCATAGCATCACATCAAGAAACAAGAAAATTATAACTTGAATGAGAAATGATAATCATCTGACCTTAACACTAAGTTAATCAAGTTAATCAAACGTTCAAATTATTTGAAACAGATTTTAAAGTAGCCATCATAAAAATGTTTAATATCCTAATTCTCTTGAAACAAATAAGTTGAAAGTAAAAAGATGGATACATATATATGGATATTATACATATAATGCAAACAGAACAATTAGAAAGTTGGAGTGGATATAACAATATCATACTAAATAGATTTTAAAGCAAAGAATTTTAGTAGAGATAAACAAGGACATTTTGTAATGATAAATGGGGCGTTTATGAGGAAGCTATAACAATTTAAAATCTACATGTACCTAACAACAAAGCTTGAAACTACACAAATAAAAAATTGACAGAATTGAAAGGAGAGAGACTGCAATAATAATAACTGAAGGCTTCAATATCCTACTTTGAACAATGGACAGAACAACTATACAGAAGATCATAAAATAAATAAATGTGGAAAACATTATAAACCAACTATACCTAACATACTCCCTATAAAGCATTTTACTCAACTAAAGAGGGCACAAATTTCTCTCAAGTACAAACATACAACGTTCGTCAGGATAGACCATATTCTAGGCCAAAACAACAGCCAATGAATTTAAAAGAATTGAAATAATACATAATCTCATGTGTTGCTTATCTTTAACTGATGTAGAAAGACATAGCTACATAGTTCTCTCCTCTAGATGCTTTCAGAAAACATGCATTTGGGGGCAGGTTAAGATTTTGATTAAGCACATACTTTGATCTCTATTCAGAAGGTAATTTTGTATAAACCCATTGTCAATCTTAGGTACCCCAAATTCTAACATTACTTACTAAAATATTAATAGGTATTACTTATTTATATCTTATCATTGTTGATATTATTATTAATACTTAGCAAAGGGAGTGATTTAAGAGAACTTATCATAAACAGATTTACAGAATTTTACCCAGATTACC